AAAATAAAATGGGAAAGCAATATTCTATTAAGAACCAGAAATTGAAAAAATTGAGCTTGATGAAAATATTAGACAATGATGTCGACATCCCATAATTGTTTCCCCTCTATCCATAATGTATTTCTATATTCCAATCTGCGGCAACCCAACTGGCCGATAGAAATTATCATCACCTCCGGTTCCATCAAAGATAAAGAAAATATGATGTTAATCGATCAGACTTTTGGGCTGCCTAATGCATCTCTATATGAGGCAGCCACTTTCGTAGACCCGGATAGTTGCATTGAGTCGCCAAGAACCCAGCAGCTGATGCCAGACCTGACCGCATGTGATGATAAAGAAAATACTACCTCTACTATGATTATGAACATCTCATCAGATCCCGACATGAAAACCAGTCAAGTAAAGATCTCTACACCTGATGCTAACGAAACTGTTTGCCGAAGTTTGCCGGATTCGGTAATCTTGGATGATAGTTGTCCCGACCCTCTGGCCACTTCCACCATCACCACAAGTAGTTGCGGCGAGGACAGTAGCAGTAGCACCTCGGAAACTGACTCATCCGTCTCTTCGAGCACCCAGTCCAGCCCAACTGAGTCTGCTTCAGGAGCTTCCGAGAAGCGCCATTCTGCTGTCATAGGTATCAATGCTAATTCCCACGGTAACTTGCCAACTAGTGCTGTTACTCCTATTTCCATTAGTTCAGTCTATCAACAGCCTTTAGCCTCTTCTACGACTGGGGCCCTCGGAACCGTTCAACCAATCGGGCTAGCCGCAATGGCACAATCCCAATCTCGATTGGCCAGTGTGTCACCCGGAGAGTCGTTGTTTCGTGCTCTGCGACTGCTCGCGCGGCTTCGTATCCACCGTTTACCTGTTTTAGACGAAGCCCGTCTCGGTGGAACAGGAAATATCCTGTATTTGCTGACGCACGCTCGCCTTCTGGCCTACCTCTATCAAAAAGTCTATATTCTTCCCAGGCCAAAGTTTCTTCGGGTTGGTATTATTGAATGTTCGACCTAGTTTCGTGTTTTTTTAAAGTTCATTATTTTTTGGTAGAAATTTGATGAAGCGTAATAGATGATTTTGATAAATTATTCATTCTGTTGAATTATAAAAACGGGCACTACTATGGCAATTCAATACATGTTTATGAGCTGTCTATATAATGAGTTGTGAGATGTCTCGCTTAAAATTTTACAACGTTCAATGCGACCGACGGGATTTGTTTTTTTTAGACCATTTTGTGTCTTATTTATTTATCTATTTCTCTTGGCTATACATAATCAAGGTTATCATATTTTGAGTTATAAACGTCTCATATATATAAGCAATAAAATCAAAATAATATCAAGAGGGGTATTCTCCACCAATTTTAGGAATACTGCGAACAAATACTATATGTTCACAAACATGCTTTAACTTTTAATGAACATTTTTTATCTGTTGGTCAATCAAATTTCCTTTGAGGAGGATTGTGCACAATTAGCTGTTTGATTTAACAGATTTGCCACTACTCGAAATTGCTTATTAGTTTTAGACAACTAACATTTGAGATTTCGTCTTTCTCTGTCACTGCATTTTTTATGGGTCTTAGGCAAGTATTAATCCGAAGACAAGATGGGCCTTTCCTAGCATCTATATTCTGTTAGATTTTCTTTCTTAATGCTACTATTTTATGAGTCAATCGATTCGTCACAATTCTGGTCGATAAACAAAATGTCATACTTTAGAAGCCACGATTTCTCTTTAACTCAGACATTTTGTCGCAAATTATGGAGTTTTTTTGCTCTCAACTTAGATGACCCCGTTACTTTTAGCCTTGATGATGCGGAGGAAATGAAAGTCTGACTGAAACCGCAGTCCTTGAAATATAACTTCTGGATAAAGTTTCCAATTCATCGGCGACCTATAGAGCACCAATCAATCTTTAATGGACATTGATAGCCTCGAGATCCTTTTTAAAAGTGCCTCTAAATTTGGAAGTCGAATATCCCAACAGGGATTCATTGACTACTGACCATCACTGTAAAGATCATTTTGGGCTATCTTACCTAGCTATTGGCCACAATTTCTAGTGTTTTGCAAGCAGTTTAACAATACATGACAATTTCAAATTTATGTCTTGAGGTCAATGGAACAGAGGCGAATAGATGCATAAATATTTTCTCATTCTTTCTAAATTGTGCCATCTTGCATAGTATCAAAACTAATTTATTATATCCCAGTTATAGTGCATTATCTCTTGTCTCGCAATTTTATGTTATTTGGACCATGATTAATATTCATCCCTGCTATTCTCATCCATCCAATAAATATAAATCTTTGGTAAAATATGTCTGGAATAACTATGCAAAATTAGTAGAGGGACCTTCATTTCGTATGAAAGTGCATGAAGAAGAGATTCGTTGGTCGATGTCACCAGATGAGGACGGATGAACCTCGTTGTACTACAGCCATTTGGCTTTTATACGATATTCATGTTGACACAGTCCACGAGACTTCCTCCCTCGTTTTGGGTGAAAACGTGCTGAGCTTTCGTCCATCATATGATGGACA